GTACTCCTGAGAGGTACAATCTATGCTCTTCCAGCTCAGGCCCTGCCATCCCCTCCTCTCTTGGTTCAGGATTCTCCCTCTTAGTTAATTACCATCCTGGGCTTGAGACTGTCCCCTCTTCTGATGGTGGGCTCAGTCATGAAGCAGACGGCCCGCAGCTTCCCAGGTCTCGGAGCTCTGAGACTGCACAGCCAGCTGCCAACTAGGGGAGAGGGGCCTAGCGCCTCCTGCTTGCCTTGGACTCTCTGAAGGGCTCTGAGGGCACCTCATTGAAAATGGGCCCTAATAATTCGTTTTTTTACATCTCAGCCAAGATGAATGGCACCCTACTGCAGATTTTGGCAGGCTGAGTGGACAGATGTGCCACTTAGCCCTTCATTTACTGAGCCAGGAGTTGGGGGAGGGGGGTGGGAGGAACCTGGTGTTGTGCAGATAAGGAACCCCAAGTAAATGGTACTTACAAGGTGACCAAGTGAATCCTGGGTAGAGAAGAGTCCCTGGCAGCTCCCAGAAGCACAGCCTCCTTGAATGTTCTCCTGAGCCGGCCCTAAAGGGTAGTCCTAAGCTAGGCATGGCAGGGCCCCTTCCCTGACAAGAACCGACTTTTCTGGCAAGCCAGTTAAGTTAGCCTGTGCTGGCCAGGAGGGAACCAAGCAGAGTTCGGTTGCCCAACAGCAGGGCTGGCCATAGCCACCTCCCTCTCCTGCAAACACCCCCACCCAGCGACATCTGCTCTGAACAGCTCTGCTCCTCACTAATTACCCCCACACCCATCTGCCCCTGGAACTCTTTCAACTGGCCACACCACCCCACACCTGTCAGAGCAAGGCGTCCCATTATCCCCTCTCTGTAAGGAGTCCTGTGTGTGTCCCCTGTTTTGTACCCCTCCATCCCCACTCTATGTAACACCTCCTGCTTATCTTCCCAGATAGTCTAGTCTAAGGCCATCCCGGAAGCATCCAGGTCAGCCTTTCAGAACAGTGAGGGGGTGGGGTGACGAGGGGTGGGGGCAGGGGTGGTGGCGAGAACCTTGCACAGGAACTCCTTTTGTTTTTTTGTTCTGGCCACGATGGCTCCTCAGAAGGTCTCAGCATACTTCTTAGCCACCAGACCCCCCTCCCCTCCCCTCTGCCCTTTACACCCCTGTCAAATCTAGAGAAGTCTAGGGCTTGCCAAGGGGAGGGAAGTGGCTGGGTTGAGGGAAATTCTATTCAGAGCCGAAGGACCTTGCAGCCTGGGCTTGATTTTGATAAATGATACATGGTTATTTTCCAGCCGGAGAGAGATGAGTTCTTAGAGAGTGCTTTTGTTTTACATTTGGCCAGTGCGTTTCCCACCCCCGTGGCTGTGACTAATCGTGGAACAGGGTTCATTTTGTCTGCAGACTCTCTTGGGACTTTCTGGTAGGAAACTCTCCACAGCATTTTCCTGTGTGTGAGGCCTTGGGAAGGCAGAGCAGGGCAAGCACCGCAAGCAGCAGGCATCACAGAGTCGTCATTTTGAGCCCCGCCCTCATCTCCTTCATCACACCAGAGTTTCCTTGGGCATCTTGCTCTCACAAATGGGCAGCCCCTCGGCCCCGTGCACAGGGGAAGTGACTAAGCCAATCTCCACTGTGCTGCTACTGTTTGCCTACCTCGAGGTCACAGACAGTCCGTCCCATCCCCCTTTGTGCCTGGCCTAAAGGAGGTCCTTGGTAGATAACATTTGCATGGACTGGTCAGTTTGAGGTTAACGATTCCGGGAGATAAACTCTCATGTCGCCAGTGGGCACCAAGGCTGAGCTGTGCCTGGCTAACTCATCCTCTGCTGCAGGCCCCCACCAGACTTGGGTGTTTGCTACTTGTCTCAAGGAACATGCTAGAAGTATGGCCTTTTGACCTGCTTACTTTTAACAAACATCTCACCGATTTCAAAATTTCACTGAAGTGACCTCATTTGTTTTTCATTTTTAAAAATTGTTTTTCAATAGAAATTTCAAGAACAAAGTGGTAAGTGACAGGCTCATGATCAATGGCACCACTAAGCTTCAGTAACTAAAGTTTTAATTGCATCTATTTATTTTGTGTGAGTGTGTGTGAAAATGTGTAGATGTGTGCAGAGGTCAGAGGGCAGTACTGGGTTCTGCCCTCTCCTTTCCCATGGGTCTGGGAGTTACACCCTTTCCCGCTGAGACAGCATCTTGCCAGCTCTAATTTTTACATATTTAGTAGAAATGACCAACCATGGCTAGACCCAAAGGACTAACTGATTTAACCTTCAGGAATGGTTTTGTGTTTGGAAGCTAGTAAGGTATCACTGTAAACATCGCCGTGACCAGGAGCCATCCTGCAGAATAATGACCTTGGTCCTGAACAGGTTTCTGCCAGACCCTGGGGGTTTGCGGTTAGGGAACAGGGGACAGTGCTGGGCACAAGTCCTAACCTGCAGGCCAGGTACTAGTTGGCATCTTCCACTGGGCAGGCTGGCGTCTTGGACCTAGAAGGGGTCTCGTTTGAAGTCTTGTAGTGAAGTGAGTTAAAAGCCAGCACATTTGAGGCTTAAGATGCCCCGAGTTCCAGTGCTGTTAAAAGCAGCTCTTGCTCTGGCCATCCGGTCACACGCTGTGCCATCTTAGTTGGAGATGCTAAGTCCTGGCTCACAGAACAGCTGTTTGCTCTGAGAGATGGGTGATGTCCTCCCTGGTGGGGTGGGGCACCCATGGTAATGAAATCCTCCTCCCTTATGACTCAGGATCACCCTTAATTTTCACATCTCCCCCTCCCCCCACCACCAGAAAATTTCAACTGTAGGATGTACTGTGTGACCTAAAAACTGGCCAAGGTAGGCATTTTGGCACCTGGTGGTTGTGCACCTATATACACGTTAGGTTTTCCTATTCATGTTTATGTCTTACTTTCATAATAGTTTCCAGTCATAAATTACCCTGTGAAAGATGTTAGCATAGCACCTCCTCCCCCCTCCCCCTTCTCTCCCATCTATCCATCTCCTACTTAGTGTAAATGAGGATTTTATATGGAGTGAATATTAGTGGCTGTAAATTAAGGGTTGACCAATTTGATTTGTAATTGGCCAGCCCGAGAGTGAGCATGTTCAGCTCCACGGACCGCGGCGTAGTCTCGACGACGTCTACGCAGCCCCAGTGTGGCAGATGTGTTGTTGCTGCATTCGAGTGAATGCTAGCCCTTGTGCCGGTAAAGCTGCATGGACACCAGCGGGCAAGAGTGGCCTTGGTGCAGACTGACCTCTACTGTTACATACCGTCTGATGTGGAGCATATGCTCTTACTGTGTGACAGTAAAGCGACTCTGGGTGATGGAAGACAGTGACGGGAAGACAGCCTTGAGTCGCCCCCTCTAGTAGAACCCCTAGATCCCACCACCCACCAGGGCAGCCTTCTCCACTAGCTACCAAAGGCCAAATGCTAACACACACTTGAGTTTCTTAGGAGAACCACAAACAGGAAGTGCACCCGAGAGCGCAGCTGTGATTGGCTGGGTGAGACTAACCACCCAGCCCGCCCAGTAGCATCTCTGCAGGTGGCAGTGTGGGTCATTCCTGAACACTGCCACATGTAATTTTTGCAAGATACGGTACATTGAATCTTAAAAATAGTTTTACCTTCCAGAAAGATGAGCTTAATTAGTCCGTGGAGGCTTTTGCTTTGGTGCCGTTGGTTTATATCACAGAAACTAAGTTGGGAGGGGAAGGAAACAGAAGGTGAGGGCCGGTGGCAATGTCCCTCCCTGTCACAGACAGGAGCTAGAGGGAAGTCTGTAGTGTGGACACAGGGCAGTGGGCTCCCAGGGAGAACTGTGACCCCAAAGACAGTTTGGTTTCCAGTGTGATGAACACGAGAGTAGGATCCCAGCAGTCTGCTCCCCTTCTGAGACTGCCAAGTCAGTCTGTGCTGAGAAGAAAAGCTATGTAGATGTAGGCGAGTCCTCTTCAGAAGCCTGCCGCAGGGTAGAAATGCTGGCAGTATGAAGACGCTGAGGAGACCGAGGGCAGGGGCGGTGTGAAGCATCTGCTCTCCCTCCAGGAAGCTAAGGCTTAGGACCATGCCTAGACAGCTGCCTTCACTGTCCACACCGCCAACCTGGGCATCGTCTCGAGAGTCAGGGAGCATCTTAGTCAATTCCACACTGAAGGGTAAGAGTACAAGGAGGCTAATGGTGGTAGGGGGGTCCTGGGAGGTGGCTGAGTGGGCGAAGTGTTTGCCGTGTAAGCATGAGGACCTGAGTTTGGGTTCCCCGGAACTTCCCTAAAAGTCAGACACGCCGTTGAGTGTAATCCCACAGTTCCCACAGGGAGGTGAGCAGTGGAGACAAGAGAATCCCCAGACACTTGTGGGCCAGCAAATAACAAGGAAGCTCTGCCTCAAACAAGGTGTAAGACAAGGGCTGATGTCTGAAGTTGTCCTCTGGCCTCCACATATGTATCATGGCACATGTACCTGCCTCCATACACATGAATGTGACTGCACGTACACACACGTGGGGAGGGGGAAACAGGCAGGCAGACCTCTCAGCCTCCCCAGCCCCTCGTGCCAGATCCATGGAGCCGCTCAAACTCTGGTGACAGCCGCTGCCAAGGGGATCTTCCTGGTCTTGCCTGAAGAACTCAGTGGCTTTGCTGATCGGTTGACCTGTGGGATGGCGTAATACAGACTTGCCAGACCGAGCTTCAGGATGGGCTTGGTGAGCACAATAGACGGCAATAACCTAGGAGGGCTCTGGTCCATGAGCACATCCTCAAGCCTCTATATCCTCAGCTGATAGGTGGCACTTTCACAGACCCCTGAGCATGGAGCAGTCCACCCCTGAGTGATGAGTATGATCTTGACCTCAGGTCACTGCAGTGGGAAGGATTCCAGGCGCCAAGTCTTTGGTTTATAGCCTTTGGTATAACTGGTCCTTCCTTAACCCTAAGATCTCCAACAGTCATGAAGTAACTTCTGTCTACTTCACAGACACCCTGACTTTCTTCCTCTATTTCAGAACTCCAAAGTCTTGGCCAAGAAGGAACTGGCTTATGTCCCAATCATTGGCTGGATGTGGTACTTCGTGGAAATGATCTTCTGCACACGCAACTGGGAAAAGGATCGGCAGACGGTCGCCAAGAGCCTACTGCACCTCCGGGACTACCCAGAGAACTATCTGGTATGTAGGCACAGGAGCAGTGTGCCGTCTGGCTCCTATGGCCACCACACTTAGGTATCACTTCAGGAAGGTGGGTGAACCTGAAATTGCGTATAACGTGAGGACTGTAGAACTGACCTGGTTCAAGTGTGATTATGAACCTCTTTGGGACTGTGGCCTCTGGTTGACCTTGGGGCTGTGTGACCATATCCTTTGCTTTCCAGTTCCTGATTCACTGTGAGGGCACACGGTTCACAGAGAAGAAACACCAAATCAGCATGCAGGTGGCCCAAGCCAAGGGGCTGCCCAGCCTCAAGCACCATCTCCTGCCACGCACCAAGGGCTTTGCAATCACTGTGAAGTGCCTGCGAGATGTAGGTAAGGATGACAGCGAAATGGGGGTCTGCGAGGCTAGGTGGAACCTGGGACAAGGGGCCCCTTAGATTTCTGCATCAGTGCTTCCCCCTGCTGGTGAGTAGTGTCACTGCATGGTAAATGAAGAACGTGCTGGGTCCCTGGAGGGGCCCCTGTGATGGCCTGATCACAGAGCTGCAGGGTCTTTGGGGGCATTTCTTGCTTGTGTATTGCTATCAACCACCTGCAGATCAGCTGACCCATGAGTCCTGAGCCTCAAGCCCCTGTAGATAAACACAGAAGAAAGCAGTGGTCACTTGCCCCTGGAGGCATGCTGTGACTTAACACCTTTCTCTCACATCTGTACTTCCTGGTCCTGGGGCTCCAAAAGAGGCTAGATGGAGTACTTGAGCTGGATAGGACTTGACACAGCTTTAAGTGTGACGGCACCACAGCGTTGGGCAGGCCTTCCTCGAACTTCATATGCCAGGCTTTGCCCTGCAGGCAATAGTGGGCAAAGTTGCCAGAGCTGGGTCAGAGGGAGATTCCAGTCCCATGCGCCACACTTCCATAGCCTGGTCTTCACTTACCTCTTCTTGTGAGGGAGACTTCCTTAGCCCCATGTCAAGGATTTAGCCAGGTCACCAAGGACATAAACAGGTTAAATATCTTCTGGCCTAGTGCCAACCCCTTAGGCAACAATGCCCACCTATGACAAGGAGAGTGGCACTGCCTCTAGACATTCCTGCAAGTCCTATCAGCAAAGACAGACCTACACAGAACTGGGTCAGACATCAGAAAATGGATGGTGATTTTGATCACCTTTGAATCCTTGTTCTTCATATTCCCAAGTGGTCCAGGTACCGTTTAGGGTCCCTGTGACCCCCCACACGACTCTTACTAACAGTCACTGTATATACGGGAAGCTCTCAGCTCAGGGTCATGATCATATCGTGAGTATAGCGTGTTGGGTCTACAGTTATGACCGACTTCTGTCACCTCTGCTGCTGTGTGATGGCAGCAACGTGAGGCCACTCTCCAGGAGAACACCTAGGTTGGTTGGAAGATTGAGGTGTCTAAGCCAACCGCCCCACTGCTGAGAAGTGGTCATAGGTGCCACACCCAGCCACACTCTTGGACTTCTCTACTTTCTCCGCTGCCTTGTGCATGAGGAGGTGGCCATCTGTGTCCGCCATGGTTTCCCATTTTAGTCATTTGCTTCTTTGTCATTCACTGCCCATTCTTTGACCCAATAAGCATTTCTTGAGCCGAGTCCCAGGGGATCGCACAACAAGCTTGGATGGAATGTGGAATATGCTGACAGGATAAGCTTAACGTCCAGGATGTAGATGTCATATCCTGGCTTTGCGCCTGCTTCATGGGAGGTGGGGGGCACACAAAAATGTTCACAGAAAAGGCCACACTGGGGCTGGTGAGATGGCTCAGCAGGGATGAGTACTTACTGCTCTTGCAGAAGACTGGAATTCAGTTCCCATCACTGTCTTCTGGTGGCTCACAACTGCCTGTAAATCCAGCAGCAGGGGATCTGTCGCCCTCTTCTGGCCTCATGGGCACATAGAGAACCACACGTATGCATCCACATAGTTAAATAAATCTTTTATAAATTCTACGTTGAAAAAATAAAGGACGGTTATAGTTCTGTAACAGACACAGTCCTAGATGAGTCTAATTCATGTTCTACCACCCGTATTTGTTCAAATATCTACATTTGCTGGCCACAATAGGCTCTGCCTACTAGAAAGACGTTACTGTCAAATCTAGATCTGATAGACATTGCTGCCTTAAAGCCCACGTGACCACAGGAGTGACTGTTTGTATGACTAGTTTACAGTTGGCTTTCTGGTGACAAAAGATGACACATATCCAATGTAGAGCAAGTGAACAATGTAGAAAAACCCAAGGATGAGATCTCCAGTCCCCTGAGTCGTCGGTGGATGGGTTACGGCGTGCTCATGTCTTCCGGCCTCACCTGCTATATACTGCCTTGTGTTTGTCTTGTCTTATAGTCCCAGCTGTGTATGACTGTACACTCAATTTCAGAAACAATGAAAACCCAACACTCCTGGGAGTCTTAAATGGAAAGAAATACCATGCCGACTGCTACGTTAGGTAAGTTGGCCCTGTTTCCCCCCTAGAAAAGGGAGAGCTTGTTTCTCAGTAATAAATCACTAAATGCCACTTTCCAGAAGCACCTGGCTAGCATCGCGCTGGAAGTCACCTTCCCATTTGACTTCTGTCCAGTCTTTTATTTCTATATGAACTCGAGAAGCATGCCTTTCTGATCTGCTCACCTGCTCACTCCTCTCAGAGCTCAGGGTAGACAGACAGAAGACCAATGTTACACAATGCACCTAACTCCCGATCTCCAGAATGTCACCAAGATTAGTGGAACCACAACAGGAAGATGTAGCAGACAGGAAGCCACAGGGCAGTTTGTTCAGTAAACCAGTGACTTACGCACTAAAATCCAGTCTGAGTTGGGTCAGGTGGCACTGGTTTCTGATACTGTGGCCATCCAAGAGCCCCTAAAATGTCCACACCCAAGTAGACAAATGGTACGGAGCTTTCTGGGTAAAGACCCTTCAGATGCCAGATCACAGCACATGATGAAAACCCAGCAGCTAAGCACCCTGCCATGTCACTCAAGTCACTGAAGTGCACAAATGCTTCTGTGGACTGACAGACAGCCTATGTCAGCCCCCTGGAAATGCTTCCGGCTTTCCCCCAATACGGAGAAGCACCATCCTTTACCATCCTTTTCTAACAACATTGGTGCAGGCTGCCATGGCAGACACAACAGCACCATTGTCACCTGGGAAGACCCCCCAACGACCTCCCCCCAGGAGACAGAGCGGGCTCTTCCTCTCTGGAGTTCCTCTGACATTTGGCAAGAGCTCCACTCAGCCGGACCCTGGTAGGGTGCAAGACTGACCTCCACAGGGGGATTTTCTTGGTGACTGCAGTTCTTTGGAGCACGTATGGGAATTGGAGTGGAGTAGACAGGTACCTTTCAAGCTCACTCACCAAAGCCAGCCAGTGTTCATCGCCACTGAGGAAGAGGCCTTATGTTATCCAGCGTACCTGTAATGTGTGGTAACCCTCTTAAGGTGACTGGGACATTCTTCAGTATATGCTACAATCCATATAAAGTATTACCACATCTAGGGCGCTGCCGTCCGAAGCGTCATTAAAAAGAGTAAAACGGATAAGCTCCCACCATCTGAGTCGAGAAAGGCTTTGCACGGCATCACTAGCCTCTTTCCTGAGACACTTAATGATCTTCTTTGCAATCAGAGATCACAAAGAGCGAGAAGTGTCGATTTCATGGAAACACAGGCAGGGACCAAAAAGGTCAAGGGACGTGTTTCCCGAGGAGCTGGTAGGGATCTTAATAACAGGACGAATGTGCCAGTGGAGAAAACTGCCCCACAAGGAAGCCTGTGGTGCTCAGCCTAACCGTGGTGGCTGACTGCAGACAAGATGCAATCCCAGATTCTCTTCCAAACCTCTATGATGTGCCGGGTTAATCTTTGAAGTCTCCTCACAGAGATATTTCTGGGCACACTGGGGTATGAAATGTCCCATGGAAAATCATGACAAATGTACTTTCCCATGGACCAAAGCAGACATCCTTGAAATTTCAAGAGCCAGTACGCGGAGAGCATAGCGAACAGCAAACCTGGAAGCTACTTCTCCTTGTTAAGGTGGGCTCTGTGCTAACAGATCAGCCTCCCACCCATGCCAGCCCCAGCCTGAGAGTTACTCAGGGGCAGAGTAACTTAGAGGTCTCTACTCTGCCCAGACCAGATGCCCTACCTTCTCACATGCCAGGGTTGCCTGAGCTCCGGCATCTGCCGCAGTGTGGGCGTACCTCAGTGGAGGCTGAAGGAGCCCCTCTGTGAGATAGTCCACCATCGCCATTCCGGTTGGTCCTAGGGTGCTGCCCCGTATGCATGGATTCTGCTCCTACTGAACTGCATCAGATGGAAAATGAGGCACCGTTGTCCTCTTTGGGGGAAGCAAGTGTCAGATTTGGGGGGGTGGGAGATGGAAAAGGCAGGTCCCCACTCCTGACACCATCTCTGTGCCAATGACTTGACCCTTGCTTGGTTCTGTTTGGCTATGACTGCATTTTGGGATTTCTACCTGTCTTAGTTAGGATTTCTATTGCTGTGAAAAGACACCATGACTACAGCAACCTTGTTTGTTTTTTCGAGACAGGGTTTCTCTGTATAACAGTCCTAGCTGTCCTGGGACTTGCATTATAGACCAGGCTGGCCTTGAACTCACTGAGATCCGCTTGCCTCTGCCTCCCAAGTGCTGGGATTAAAGGCGTGCGCCACCACTGCCCAGCTACAGCAACTCTTATAAAGGAAAACATGTAATTGGGGTGGCTTACAGTTTCAGAGGTTTAGTCCATCATCATCTTGGTGGGACATGGCAGTCCACAGGCAGACATGGAGGAGGAGCTGAGACATCTTGATCTGAAGGCAACAGGAAGTGAACTGAGACAGTGTAGCTTGAGCATAGGAGACCTCCAAGCCCACCACCACAGTGACACACTTCCTCCAACAAGGCCACACATCCTAATAGTGCCGCTCTTGATGAGCCTAAGGGGCCAGTTACCTTCACACCACCCATGGACTACTCCCCCGACCCACATACACACCCAGAACTGTTACTCAGAAATGTAGATTGGGTGCTCAGTGTGGTTCTCTCCTTGCTAGCCAACCTCTGCTTTTACAGGAGGATCCCTATGGAGGACATCCCAGAGGATGAGGACAGGTGCTCGGCCTGGCTACACAAGCTCTACCAGGAGAAGGTGGGTGCAATAAGTGGAGGCAGATGAAACTGTGGGGTTCAGGGTGGAAGACACCATTTTGATGGGTAGGCATGGGAGTCAGTTATTAGTGCCCCTAATGATCTACATGTCAAGCAGTAAGAGAACACAGCAGGCGTCCTCACAGAAAGTGAAACGATGGTGTGGGTGTAGTGGATTAACAGGAGGTCGTGGCTGTTCTGTATGGTCCAGACAGTAAGTGACAAGGGCTGCACTTTCAAGTGAGTGAGTCTGTTAACACGCAGCAAGCAAAAAGAAGGGAATAAAGAGCGAGAGGTAGGAGGACAGAGGACAGACATCTTCAGTCAGGGACTTGGAGCATCCAGGAGGAATCACCAGGGTGACAGTCATGCTGGAGTTCTCAGCTGAACTCTCTGGATGAGCTCTGGCTTCCTCTTCCTGTCCAGGCATTTAAACCACAGGGTAAATGATGGTAACTTCTTTCTACTGGAAATGGTCTGCCTTCCAACTGTTCTCAAGGGCTCAGTGCTTTTACTTCTCTTAGCTGCTTGCTGTTTTCCGTTCTCCTTGTCACAGAGCTGTGGGAGACACTTGAAATAAATGAGCTCAGTGAGACGAGGGAGAGAGAGGGAGAGCGCCTCCTTGTTCCCAGAGTCCCCTTTCAACAAGCTTAAACGGCACATGACAGTTTACCACTGTAATGTATAGCTGTGGTCTCTCCTACCTCTCGCCCAGGCACAGTTCCCTATGGGAGAGCTCTCTTTAGTGATCGGTGTGGTCTCGATGACTACTGAGCAAACTCTCTGGTGCCTATGTCACTTTAAAGTGTGACCCGAAGAAGAATGCATCCCCGAAGGGTCCCTGATGCAGCTCTCCCGGCTTGTTCTTCCTCTGAGCAGGGCCTTTGGCTTTCACAGGCTTCTCTCCTCCAAAAATCTAAGTAGAGCAAGGAAAATCTAAGTATCATTGCCCTAACTTGATCTCATGGAAGTTGTCCCCAGAAGTGCTGACAGCGCCTGTGAGCAGGACCTTGTGGACCCACAGCTCCAGGGCGGCAGACAGGCTGATGGGACCGGGGATGTTGTGAGGCCAGAGAGTGGACCCTTGGTTGTGTGTGGGCGGAGCTCCAGGCCTTGCATTTATGGTCTCTTCAACCTGTCACCGCTGCCCAGCTGTGCTTCCTCAGTGCCTGGGATATGGTGAGCATGACTGAGGCTGGCCAGCCCCAAGTTTGAGCTCCTCCCTCCCACACAGGAAGGATAATGGCAGGCAGCCACCAGATGCGACACTGGAGGAAGAGGATGCTAGACGGCACTGAAGATCTCCAGTAGCTGCCCACAAAGCACTTGCTGTAAGGTTTTACCAGAGGCCCAGCAGGTGCCCCTGGAATGCAGCAGTTTCTGAGGCACTCTTTCTGTCCCCCAGGACGCCTTTCAGGAGGAATACTACAGGACAGGGGTCTTCCCAGAGACTCCCTGGGTTCCCCCACGACGGCCCTGGGCTCTGGTCAACTGGTTGTTCTGGGCGTCCTTGCTGCTCTACCCTTTCTTCCAGTTCCTCGTGAGCATGGTCAGCAGCGGTTCCTCGGTGACGCTGGCCAGCTTGGTCCTTATCTTCTGTATGGGTGAGTACCGAACTAGAGGCGCAAAGTGGAGCCAGCATGCTTGGCGGGTGCCAGATGTGTTCGGTGTTCCTTGCAGGCTGTGTAGCACCCACAAGGGCTCACAAGGCTGTCCGGGGTCTAGAGGTGCCCATGGAGCAACCCCCCACCCAGATGGTGGGACTTGGAGCTGGAATTCCTCACTCCCCGGGACTCCTCCGTCCCTTCTCCAGAGGAAAGCATGGTGTGGGGGCTTGAGGAACCTAGCTGTACGCTCTCTGCCTTGGAGGCAGACATGGGCCCTCCCTCTGGGACTCCTCCTGTTACCAGGTGTCTGGGCTTGAGTGAGGACGCTCAGAAAGTGCCTTCGCATTCTTCCCAAGGGTTTGCTTACCCAGTATTTTCCAACTACAGCAGTTCCTCTCACATGAGGCCTGTGTGCATGCTGCGCTGTGTGTGTGACAGTCCCCTGCCATCTGAAGGCCAGCTCTGCTTCCGAGGCTTAAGCGAGCATAGGCAGCTTCAACGTTTCCACTACTGAGGAAAAATGGCCCAGGGCCAAGGCCAGGAGATTGTTTGCTCAGGACACACACACCAGACTGGTATTTCTGTGAAACATAAAATACTGTGGTCTCTGGGCAACACAAGGGGCTTCAGCAGGAAGCCTCTCAGGAGGGACTCCCACTTGGAACCTGGTGCAGTCTCAAGCATGAAGGCACACCCACTGGGTGCATCTTCTGAACACTTCTCTCACTTAGTATCTAGTGAGCACCCTGACATGTCTGTCTGCACCAGGGTGCTGGGAAAGAGGCCGGCCAGTAGAGGCCATGCCCTCCAGGGTAAGAGCTACACTCCTCAAAGATGAAGAGGAATGGGGAAAGCAGTGCCCAGGGGCCTGAGCACTCAGCCTGGGGTACTGTGATCATTTAGAAATGTCCCCAGAGCTGATCCCTCCCCTTCCTGAGGTCTTTGGACCAGAGTCCACATCTCTTACCCATTTCCTATAGGTTATCCCTGTCCCTCCTGCTGACAAGGCGATCCACCCAAAGGCCAGAACTGGGACAGAGCTTATCTCTCAACAGGTGTCCGAGCAGACAACTCTTCATTTGCACAGGCTGGCTTCCCTGTCCACACAGCCTCCGGGAAGAACATGATGCTAAAGATTTGTGACATATACACCCTAATTTGGGGGCTGCATCTGCTCGCACACCCACTGTATCATAAACTGTGTGTGCAGACTGTGTGTTCAGTGGCTAAGACATGGCCTGGCACACAAGGAGTCACCCCTCTCCAGAGGGGACTGCTTATCTTAAATGGCAGTTTCCGAGTGAGTTCCTCGATGGGTTCAGCACCTGGACAGCCAGAGCTTCAGAGGGCAAGGGCTCCCACCGAGGGAGGCAGTGATTTTGCTCTCTGCAATCAGCCCAAACCATGGTGGAGTTTGTGGGTATGCAGTGCCTGCATCCTCACAAAGAGGCCCTCCTCTGCCACCATCTCCAAAGAACTACCTTTGTTTGCCTTGGAAAGCAGAGAAGTCTGTGAACAGGTGCATGCTGCTTGCCCAATTCCGTTGATCTCCACTGTGCAAGGATGGCCTCCCCCTTCCCTCCCTCCTCCCCCTACAGCAGCCCTATCACTGTCCTTTTAATGTCATTTCAATGTGCAGGGGGATGCCCAGAAGCTGGGGTCAAATGGTACCCCAGATTCACTTGCATTTTGCAGCCAACGGCCTCCTCACGGCTCCCTGTTGGCACAGTGCCCCCGGAGTGCGTTCAGACTCTTAACTGCTTTTCTGTCTCTGCAGCCTCCATGGGAGTTCGATGGATGATTGGCGTGACAGAAATTGACAAGGGTTCTGCCTACGGCAATATCGACAACAAACAGAAACAGACAGACTGACTTGGGAATGTCACCTCCAAAGGGAACCTTGGGGAACTGTGGGCCTCTGCCTAGCCGCCTTAGTAGGGTTCAGTGATGGAGACTGGGGAGCCTTGTTGGGATGAGCAGACACCACAGCCTCTCCAGTCACAGAGTTTGTCTCAGCGCTGGATGCGAAAGGAAGACGTGCTTAAGCCTTTTCCCCTGTGTGAACTATTGGGTTTGTTTATCTTTCTTTTCAGTTGCACACGTGCGTGTGCATGTGTGTGCGTGTGAGAGAGAGAGAGAGAGAGAGATGCGGGAAGGAGAATGGCTGCCTGTACACTTGCGACCCTGTGACAGCAGGGTCTCTGAGGTTGCAGGGAAGGGTGGGGCTGGGGTGGAAGGGAGGGCGTCCCTGTCATCCCCATCCCGTGGTGCTGCGTCTTCTCTAACCCTCGATTGCCAGAGACAGACTGGACAGTGCTTTGGGTAAGATGACTAAATTATGCCTCCAAATAAGAAAAAGAAAATTAAAGTGTTTGTCTGGGTTGTCTGTGGCATGTGTTGACACAAATGTTCCTCTCTCTCCTCTGCCCTCGATTTGGTATTCCAGACAGCAGCTACTCAACAACTGTGATCCTGGTCGGGGACGGCTAGGGGCTTGAGTAAAGATTCATACAAGACATGTTACTGAGGACCCCCTCCTTCCCCGCCGTGACCTGTCAGTGTAACAGAATACTGAACCTCGGTGTAAGGACGGGTTTGTTCTGGCTCACAGTTCAAGGGCACCATCTGTCACGGTGGGGAAGTTGTGGAGCACAGGGAACCTGCTCAAAGTCAGAAAGTGGCAGAGATGAATGCTGCTGCATTCTCTCGTTCAGTTCAGGACCCCAGCCCATGGCTAGGGTGGCTCTGCCCACCTCGGCTGTTCTAATCTAGGTTACCTGCACAGGCACCGCCAGAGGATCGTCTCCTAGGCGATTCTAGATCCTGTCAAGTTGGCAAGCAGCATTAATCACCACAGTATGCCCATGCAGGGATGTCACCTGTAAGAGATGGGGATGTGGAAGCCCCTCTGGGCAAGGGTAAAGACCAAAGTGCTTGGAGACCAGCGGAGGGCTTCCCTGAGACACAGAGAGGGGCCAGTGGAGAAGAGTGTTGGTTTCCCAGTCTCGCTGAAATGGCACCCACTAGTCTTGAAGGACTTAAGCTGATTTTGAAACCAAATGTTACGAAAATATCAAAAACAGTCACAGGAGTTGGGAAGCCCTATAAACAAGGGCAGGGTCATTTACAAAATGAGAGTACATTCCTTTTCAGCTTGTGTGTGGGTACCTTCTAAGGAGCCACATCCCACAGGGGAGCCCAAGCTGGGGGCTCTGCTTACCCCACCGGGCTTTTTGTTGGATCCTGTTGTAACAGGAAAGGGGTTGGCTCGCCTGTATCTCCAGTAGTCTCTGGAGAATGGCTCATGGACAGACGTCTGCAGACTGAGAGCAGTCAACAGAGGCCAGATGCAAACACAGCAAGAGGAAAAGGTGGCCGTGCTCCGGAAGGGATCAGTGTCCTCTTAGAGCAGTGGTTCTCAACCTGTGGGTCTCGACCCTTCGGGGTCACCTAAGGCCATCGGAAAACACATATTTACGTTACAATTCATAACAGCAAAATTACGGTTATGAAGTAGCAAGGAAAATGATTTTATGGGTCGGGGGGGATCCCCACAACATGAGGAACTGTATCAAAGGGTTGCAGCATTAGGCAGGTTGAAAACCAGTGCCTTAGATGGAGAGGCCAGCAATGCCTGGACTGACACCTGTGTGCGGCTACACACCCCCTGGTACAAACCCTCACTAGAGAAGCTGGCCGTATGGCCCACCAAAGGCACATCCTCTCCAAAGTCACTGTAGACAGATGCTTGCGCACCAAGTCACTAAATGGCATCCACATGACTTACCTTCACGAGCCAAGGAGTGACCAGAGTTCTAGAACCCTTTCTGTTTAAGGGACAGCAATGTATTATCGATACAAATGAGTCTGCATTAGCAGAAATCAGACCACCGCATTCTGGCTTTCTGTGGAGCAGAGCAAGCTTCGGGGCTGAGTTCCCACGGTGCATCTTCCCAGCCATGAGGCCCAGATATGCATAGAGAAGACTGGACGCTACTCTTCAGGTGAACCCGGGGTTGCAGAGGCCGTTTGTGAATATCCCGGAAGGCCTCCCCTGGATCCTAAGGCCACCAGCTGGGACCTAAGCTAGGTAGTTTGTGAATATCCCGGAAGGCCTCCCCTGGATCCTAAGGCCACCAGCTGGGACCTAAGCTAGGTACGAGCTCTGGTGCTTGCAGAGCTTGGTTAAGCCGTCCATCCAGCTTATGGACCTTCATGAGCCCAGCTGACCATCTGTAATGGGGAGTGATGCTCCTCTTGCGTTGCTGCAAGGGTACAAAGAGGCTTGCTTTGAGAAGGTAGGATCATTAACCAATCAGGTGAAGGAATGAAAGGCTGCCTCCATTCTGCAGCTTCTCCAAGTACTGGGAAAGGACTGGACGGTGCTACAACCCTTCTTTTTGATCTGGCCTTGGGTGCCAAGTCAGAGTCATCTTAGGAACATTGGGTGGGTGGTGGTGGTCTGGATGGCCTTAGGACACAAAAGGAAACAAGGAGCGTGGCAGGGACCAGCTGGGACCTCAGCTACTTGACCTCCCTGAAGAAAAGTGCTGCGGTGTGCCTGACCCTGTTCCCTTGATGCAGAGGGGGGAATGTGCGGGGTCTTCTTAAAACATTGCAACATGTACATCTTCCTTTACGCTCACTGGGGTCTGAAAGAGTGATCAAAATATAAACTCCAGTGGTACTGTCCAGCCCAAACTGGTCACGGGCAGCTAACAGCAGTGTGGCCAGTCCGGGCAGAGCAGGGCAGAGCAGGGCAGAGCAGGCTCAACACTGGCTTCCAAGCTTGTCCTCGGGGATGAGAGCAGTGGACAGAGGCGGCTGCTGGGTTCTCTGGGATGGTCCCGCGTCTTCACCGAAGCGCTGTGCAGGTTCCCAGGCCTACCGAAAGAAAAGTCAAGAAGAAAAGCAGATCGTGGGACTGTGGCTGTCTGGAGGAGAGCTGTGTGCAGCATCTGAATTGAATGGTTTGCATCTGAATTGGAGGATGCGAAGGGGAAAGACGGACCTCCCGGTGTCTGAGGCTGCCTGTGAGGCACCTGTGGTCTTTCTCCCCAAATTCATCATCAAGTAGTTTGAAGTGCAGCTTCTGAAGAGCAAAGGCAGGTCGATGTAAACATGTGGGGCTGGGGATGAGTTGGCACTGGCTCCCTCTCTGACACCTCAGGTCTCCTCAGGGCTCAGTGCACGCGAAGAAGAGGCTGGGCTGTGGTGGAGGTGCTGCTGCCGGTCAGGTCACCACTTTGGGACCCAGAGACAGTCCAGGCTGTGGTTTTAGCGAGCAGTCTTAAAAGGTTCCAAAGGCTACCACTGAAGGAAGCGCGATGCCCCTGCCTGGTCTGCGTGTGGCTTGCTGTTCTTCCAGACGCCTGCTGTGAACGAAGGGGGGGGGGTCACTGGTGACAATGTGGGGACTTTGCCTCTTCCAAGCACTCACTTGAGAACCTGAGACCAGCGGCTTGCACTTTTTGTCTGGATTCTTCCTCACATACATAAACATCGAGTGTCTGAAGGTATCAGAAATGGTTGCCTGTAATAAGGCAATTTTCTAAATATGCTTTCCCAGACTTCATTGTAGATCGTTTTTCTTCTTCTCAGAGTGAATGAGGCTCCAAAGTGAGTTTAGAATTCTAGCATGCTGGCCAAGGAGGATTATGCTAGCTTTGTAGAAACGATCCCTCTGCCCTCCATAATCAGACCAATCAGGTGGGCAAGGGGTTCCTCAGGCCTGCCTGGTGCCACCAACTCCTCATATGAACTGAGTGACCATACCAGCCCTCCCTAAATCACATCTTCAGCATCATACCCCCATCCCGCCCTCCCCCCCCCCCCCCCGCCGCCCCCAAGCACAGGTTCTGGCTCAGGAGGTTCCTGATTTAAAATTTAAAGGGAAGTCAAACCATACTTTGGGGCTTTGATCTGTCATGCACTGGACACATCACAAGAGGCCCAAGGCCTGAAGAGGTCAACACTACTTATGGCATCAATCACCAACCGGCTAAGTACCTGGTCTACGATAGTCAACTGTCCAAAATTATTATTCTGGTTAAGAAGCAAACAAAAAATTGTCACCTAAACAGTGCGCATCTCTTTAGAAGACCATCTGAGGCAGAGATAGCCTCCCGAGCCATGGTGTCGTCACTCTGAATACCGGCTACAGAAAGACAGACACACGCTTAGAAACTTAACCACAGAATGCCCATCATCTTAGCATCCTCCTTCCTAAATCATAAAGGCAAGTGTCTAAGCACGGTTCTTGGTGCAATGCCAAGCTGTTCTCCAGAGGATGAACAGGGACAAACCAGGCTCCGCTGCAGCCTGCTCCTGGTTAGTACTGAGGCTGTGGACTGACTAAAAGGCTGAATTAGCTGCCTCCTTTGAGCTTTCCAGTGTCTAGAAGCACTTCCCATGGCTGGTGAATAAAGTCTTCACTGGGCACGGCTTTCAGTTAGACCTTTAAGATGGCCACACTCCACATGCCCAGTAGACAGTGTTGACATTTCTGACATCTATGCTATGTTCAACATTCAGGAGGTCAGTGGTGGGAATACAGTGAGGGCCGTTTAAGTCCTAATTCCTTCAGGTTTCTAAAATGAGTCAAATTGTATACATACTGCTTTCCCTTTCTATGTTCCCTGGAGATGATTTTAGCCAGGTATTTGTCAACCACCCTAGGACATCTGGCAGTCCCCCAGTGGGGTCTGAAGGGACATTCTAGCCAAGCCCTTGCAGGAGATGAGGAAGAAAAGCTGAGGATACATACAGTCCAGTGGCTCGGGCTCTCCAAGCGAACAGCAGGAAAGCTGCAGCCTGCTCCGTGCTGGAGACAGGCCAAGGGCCCGGGGAGGCTGGTGCAGCCTCCTGTACACACGTGGATGGGGCATAGGCCGTGCTGCTCTCTAGCCTTGCCTATCAGGGAAACGAGACCCAGAGCAGGAGGACCAGGGTGAGGTGTGATGTCAGAATGAGGTGTTCTGGGTGAGCAATGGGTCGCTCAGGCTGGGGTTACTGGGACCCACCATAGCCAAATCTCTAAGGAAGAGGACCCGGGAGGGGACACTGGAGGGGAGAGGGGGATGAACAGGCTTTAAAGCTCATTTGTGACAGCATTCGGGCAAGTCACACAATGGGAAGCGGTGGTGCCTGCCACGGAGGCAGGCAACCTGACTTTCAGCCGAGTATCAGACAGAATGCAAGGGTACCAAGAATGTGTGCTGGGCTTTCAATATAAAAGACGATAACGAGGCTGCAATGTGCCATAGCAATCTTTTCTTACTGCTTTACTGAGCAAAATGGGCTGAGCAAAAATAAGGTAAGTGGAGTGTCCAGAAGACAGAATTAAGAGGCCCAGCTTCAATGGCTGGGATAAAACAAAACACAATTTTACGGAACATTCTGATTTGAGAAAATGGGGCTGGCGAGGAGGCTCAGCAGGCAAAGAAAGGTTCCTGCCGCCAAGAGACACCAGTTCTCTCAAGCCCTCCTCTGACCCCGTACTCCGCAGGGCCACACGGTCCCCGTTTGCACTCTCTACTGCTGTACAGCTGTCCTCGTGCCATACTGCAGTGCACAGTGGCTGCCACCAAGCCCATGTGACCCGTCACCCAGACTTCGGCCCCTCTGAACCACTACAGACAGCTCTGGCCACGCGGCTCTGCAGAGCGTAATGGCAGCACCTGGAAGGTGCCATCTGAACAGCCGTGGGGCCTGTGTTACAACTGACTGTCCTCACTTGGAAGTTACCTTCAGACGCAGGCTTGATCTGTAAACTACTAACCAAAGTAGCCTGGTGGGTTATTGTCACCAGCACTTCATCCTTGCCATTTTCTAGCCTTACACATTTCTGAAAGATAGGTAAATGAAACCCAAACCACAGAGAAAGAAAGTAACAATAAACATCACCACAGAAGACAGAAATTATGAGAGAAAACACTAATGAAGCCAGAAGTGACCGACAGGCTGGACAGACCTTTATCTAAGCAAAGAAAAAGAGAAGACAGATGGGTAGGCTCGGGAGCAAGCGACAGCAGCCACACAGACACCAAGTGTGACGGACAGACGGTGAACGGCCATCTGCCGAGAAATCCCACAACTTGTGAGACTGAGTGGAAATTTTAAAGTCGATTCCGAGAAACTTAAAACAGCCCTCCACAAAGAGAGGTCCAGCCCCAGCGGGCTTTGTGTGAGTTCTACCCAGGACACAAAAGATGAAGGAAAACACAGCCTACACCACCTCAGAGAAAATGGAGAAAAGGAGATGTCTAATTCACTCAAGGAAGGCTACACCACCCTGACAGGGAGCCAAAGACAGCCCCAGAATGAAAACTACAGAGCAAAACCATCTGAAAACACAGAGGGGGAAAGTCGTTGTCTTCTCACAAATACCATAAATGGGCTGGAGAGGTGGCTCAGCGGTTGAGAGCACTGGCTGCTCTTCCAGAGGACCCGGGTTCAATTCCCAGCACCCACATGGCAGCTCACAACTGTAACTCCAGTTCCAGGAGATCTGATGCCAGTGCACATGAAATAAAGTTAAATAAATCATTTTAAAAAATATATAAATGAATGCAGGGATGTACAAAAGGGACAAAGTCAAGTGCAAATTAGATTTTACTCCAGAAAGGAAAACTGCCCTTGTGTCTGGGCCACATGTCTCCGGATATGGATGGAGGCCACAAAAGCAGCCACTACAACTTTCAAAGGAATTCAGCAAGGTCACACGATAAAGGACTGAAACACAAATTTGCTAGCTCTGTATCCATCTGCAGTGAACGGCTGAATGTGAATTAAAATGTATTTCCATTCACAGCACCATGAAGAGAGAGCCACAGAGGAAAAGCCTCTAGCAGAGAGATGGAGCTGGACCCCTGAATTATTATTTGACACAAAAGTTAACTGAAAGAGAGGGAGGCCTAATTTAAGAGCTAAAATGAACTGTTGGGCCCGACAGTGGGCACAAGCAATAAAGAACAAGATAGTGAATGGGCTTCTAAAAAAATTAACTTTTTGGTTCTCACAGACACTACAAAGAAAATAAAAGACAAGATAAACCACAGACAGGGGGGAAGACACCTTCACACCACAGATTAGGTAAAGGAGGTTTACTCAAGAGCATGTTAAAAAAACTAAACACTTACAACTCAGCAAGATGGCAAAGAAGCTAATTCTAAAACTGGCAAAATACCTGAACAGGCATTTCCCTAAGGATGAGGCATGAGTGGGGCCAGCAAGATGGCTCCGTGGGTAAAGGAGCCTGCCACCAAGTCTTATGACCTGAGGACAATGCCCCGGGATCCTTATGGTGGGAGGAGATTACTGACTCCAGCAATTGTCCTGTTGTCCACACGTGTGCTGGGACAGACAGACACACACACACACACACACACACACACACACACACACAGTGGATCTATCTACATATCTCGAGAGACAGAGAGACAAGAGATACACGAATGGCCAGCAGGCACTGGGATCCAAATTCTCACCGTCATTAGAGAAACACACACCAAAACCACAGCGAAGCCCGCTTCACCATCACTGGCAGGCAAGGCCACTGTGGAAGAGTGTGTCAGCAGGGAGCGGACAGGGACCAGAAGCCTCACAGCTGCTCCAGGAGGAAATGAGGATGCAGTCCCTTCGGGAAAGCTCACAAGTTTCTGAAAATGAACACAGACTGACCACACAGCCCAGCACTGCTGTGGGGCACACATGGGCTGCCAAGAGGGTGCCCAGAGAAATTCAGAGAAATAGAGCTTAAGCTTTCAGGTGTTTACGCAGAGAGTGGATACAAATGGTGAGAAAGGAAGTTAGCTCAAGTTATTTATGCTAAGATAAGAGCCTAAAAAACAAGAGATAGTGTCAGGACATAAACAACTTGTAAATAGGGTGCCCTTTAAAATGATTGGTTTGTTCCTTCACCCCCTCCTAGGGTTTGGAGGTTTTCTGATATAAAAGGAGCTTACTGCCTATCAATAAACAAGTTCTTGCTTGACTTGACTCCCCGCTGCGTGTGACTGTCTCCAGGTAAGGGGGAGGCTGGGGAATGGGGCGAGCGGGGGTGGGGGTGGGGTGGGGGTGGGGGTGGGGGGCGGCGCGGCACTTGCCTTTCCTCGGTTCCAGGCCACGTCTTCATAGGTGACCTAAGTTCCCTGTGGGGCAGGTCCCCACACACTCCCATCTCCTGAGACACACAAAAACGTCCACGCAAATACCTGTGTGTTCAGAGCAAATATCCCAACAGGGGTGCAGTCCACTGCCCATCCACACGCGCACAGATAAAGAAAGCAGGCGGCACGTACGTACGTACAGCGGGACAGGGCTTTGCACGGAAAACAAAGACGTGCTGGCACATGCTCCTGTCGTGACAACCTTGGGAAAACACCAGGTGAGAGGGCACAGAGACCACCACGCTATAAGATCTTAATTAGACAGAATGCCCATGGTGGGCAAATTCCAGGCAGGAAGTAGCTTAATAGCTGCACATGGACAGGAGGGATAATGGGAAGGTTCTAAACTAGACTGTGAAACAGTTCTACAGCTCTGCAACTATGATAAAACGGACTGGAGCGAACCCTTTACATAACGTAAATTATAACTTAAAAGATTACACAAGAACACTTTAAAATCCTAACAATCTGCATATCCTAGTCGGCATTCTCTGGGCATTCATCTCTTGGAGGAAGAGACCAGGAACACTTGGGAACCCAGCTGGGGTTGGCTGCTTTGTGTAGGGAGGAAGTTTGGGATCTAAAGAGACTTGGGGAAGCTTTAAGGTCAAGAAATGAAAAAGAAACAATAAAG